TCCCTTTTGCCACATCCTCCTGCCCTCAACTCCATGAGGTGACAATTGAGATCATGCAAAAGGTTGATAATAAAAAACAACATACTCTCGTGCCTATTCTTGATAACTACAATGACAAATATATTGTTGCTAGTATCTCATACCTTTTTTCAGAGGCATTATTTGTCTGCCAGATATGCACACATATGAATATATTTTTCCAATAATTTTATGTAACAGAAAATTAGTATCATACCTCATTATGCTATGCTACAAGGCTAGTGCACGGCACCTCTTAGGCTTTGTTCGATTTATACTCTCTGCATAGCTGATGTCATTCAGTCCCATGATTTTAAACTCTATCTATATGATAATGGCTCTCTGATCTGAGCCTGTAGTCATAAGCCCTTCCTGGAATTTCTGGTTTATGTACCTATTCAACATTTCTACTTCAGCTTTGATAGGCTTGTCCCAAATCAAACTCTTTATTATATCCTCGTTTAGCCGCTGTTTTGTGTGCCACCTTACTTACCTCAAAACAAAAGTATGGCCATTCACCAAGCTACTAAAACAAATCTAAGAACTATCTCAATTGTTACATTTCCTACTCCTTTACTCTTTCCAAAATACACCTTGCATTCATTCATCTCTCAGGATTTCCATAATTATTCTAAGCTACTAGCATCCCTTCTGCTGACTACCGCACACGCTTTCTACTCTCTTTCCTTACATTGTGACTCACCTCCCCCAAACAAACATACCTGTTCTTGGAACAGCCAGAGTTATATTTTTAAAATATAATACAATCACATCAATCTTTGCCTAAGTTCTAAAATCTAAAATTTCTCAATTGCCTGAGAATAAATCCTTTCTGGCTTATAAAACCATTCATGTCCAGGAAAATTGGTCACCCTTTCTGACCTCCTGTGATACCATTTTCTCTTCATGTCCAGATCACAATGATTTCAACTCACTGGGCTTCTTTCCTTTCCTTACCAGATCAAGCTTGAGCTCACCACTGGTCTGTTGCACTTGTCATTATGTTTGAATGTCTTTGGCTTCCACTATAGTATAGATGGCTTCTTTTCACTCAGATCCAAATTTCATCATCATTTCCTTCTAGTTGTCTTTCTGAGCTACCCAATCCATAGCAGACCATTCAAGTTTTGTTTAATTATTAATCATTTATTTTCTTGTTTATTGAGCTCAACTTCAAGCACCACAAGAGAGGTAGCTTTGATTAATACTTGATTATTGTTATAACTACTTTAGTGTTCAGGTCTGTTCCAGGTACATGGAAGGTATTTTATATGTTGTTAAGTAAACAAATATTTAAGGTTCAGAATATATTTTCAATTAAAAAATTCAGTCTTTGGTGATGATGGCTGATCAAACCAAGGACTCTTCAGAAATACAAGTTTGCTTAAGAATGATACCAATAAATAAAATTCTTGTTATTCTTACCAATTTTGCTATTTTTCTGCTAACATTGCCTTATTACCTATACATAACTCTCATCACTACTTATTCTACTTACTACCTATTTATTTGTTTAAAATCTGTCTTCCTATACTAAAATTTTAAGTTCTATTAGGGAAGTGATTTTTATCTCTCTTTTCTCACTACTGAATGCAGTTTTGAGTAGAAACTTGAATAGAGACAATCCAAATTTGTTGATGAATGAAGAAAGACACAAGGTAGAGCTGAAAGTGATTGATTCAAGACTTCTAAATTTGCAGTGAGGAAATAAAGACACTGTTACCCAGAAAAAAAAAAAAAGAGGTCATAATTATAAGTCAGTACTTTCAGTCATGGATCTCCTAATACATTCTTATAACTCAAATCCTCTTATACCTTGAGCAAGTCATGGCAAACATTTTGTCTTAGTTTTTGCTCCTTAAAAATGGGAATTACAGGAAATAGACAACCAATTAAAATTATCTTTTTAGAGCAAGCCTAACTTGAGAGTTCGGTAATTGCCAGCAGCGGATTATCATTCAGGATAAATGCACACATGGGAGAAAGCAAGAATGGTGGTAGAAAAACATTTGAGGGGCAATTTTTGTGCTGCTTAGGATAAGACTTGTTTAATTTTTTCCATAAAAGCACTAAAGTCTAGGGAAATACTGCTGGGCAACAAAGCAAAGTTTTGAAGCTCACAGGTCTAAGGAGAAATTAATAAAATACAGTAGGGAAATTAAGTTGAACAAAAGTGCAATGAGCCATAGTTAAACAAATTAATTAAACAGTTTCTAATATGAATATAATTGGGTTGCTGAAGAATTAAAACTAACTCCAAGATTTTAAATCAGTGTTTAGTGTTCAACAAAACACCAAACAGTAATATGCAGAAAATTTGTACATTTTTAGGAATATTCCGTGATTAATTCATATGAGTCAGCACCTTCATTAACACATGCAAATCTTAGGCATATTGTGGTACTTCTCTGAATTCTTCCTATGTCAATTTCAAAATCATATAGCTTTCCCACAGCATCAATTATGAAAAGCTTATTTTTTTTCAAAAGTACATCTACCATTTTCCAGAAAGCAATGAAGATTAGTACACCAGCATCCTGACAGGTTGTGAAGCACAAGAGGTGAGCTGACAAAACCAAAAGCTGGGAGTCATACAGATCAAAGTTCAATTTCAGACTGATCACTTAAGAGGTCTGAAACCGTACAGAGATAACTTAGCTCCAATCACCTGTTGCCTGTTGCCTCCGATGCAGAAATGTTAAGGTGAAATATCTGTAATATTTGTGCAATGTGTTCAAAGGAGAAACCTCTCAACTACATGGAAGTATTAACAGTAGAAGCAGATTCCAACTTGTGGATATGTTGATTACCAAAATTGCTTGCTTGGAAGTTTAAGTTGAAGTTTAAACTGAAAATGTATACTAAAAATGATGAGTGGGTTTCTAGGTGAGACTCCTAAGCCTCCATTTACCATAACATTATTTCAGTCAAGAAATACTCTAACCACACTCTGGCTGGGGCAGTCAATTTTGCTGATTTTCCTGGCTTTACACTGGAAAGTCCCTCATCCTGGAAAACTCTCAGAAAAGCCTAATCATGATTCTTTCATTTGAAGCTTAATCATGATTTATTCATTCTTCCATTTTTTCTGTAGTATCAGGTATATTTTTAGACTATGGAGATATAAGGACAAATCTTATATGGAATTTTCCTTTAACCATTCTTCAGCCTAGCAAAGGAGAGATAGGAGCAAGCATCCAGAAACTCTATGCTAAACGCTAATGATGAAGGCTTCGGCAACTAATGAACTTGATTTTGAACTAGTTATGAGGGCCAATCAGTGTCTTCCATTATTTTAGTCATTTCTGGTTTCAAAGCTCAGTATTGCTGAAACATACATGTGAAAATGCCATCTCTTTAGATTCCCTGTGGTCATAACAGACTTTGAATAGCTTTAGATATGCCTGTAATCTTTATGCAATCTTAGCAAAACATAAATATAAAAAGCTGTCAACCTTTGATTTTATAGCAGTTCCTTCCACTCTGGATATAAAACTAAGTTAAAATCTGCTTTGAAAAATGCTAACTTGCCTGTTTGTTTTTTCATCATTTGAAATTCATGTCCCAAAGGAAATTACTGAAACAGCGTGTTCAATTGAAAACAACACTGAAGTCATGAATAATTTTCTTCTAGCCACAATACTGTAGTGGTTGCCACAAAGTCAACAAGTTAAAAATGTGTCTTAAACCTTGTTATCAAGTAATTGGCATTCTATTTCTAAACCTTCAATAACATTTAAGGTATTCCCAAACATGCCTTTCACAAGGCAGCAAATCCTGCAGTAAGAGGGTAATAAGACATGGACTGTCTGCAATCTGGCAGCAACATTCACTGACTAACAGCCTAATACTCAGTTTTCCGTCTGGGGAAAGAAGCTGATTTTTCACAGATTCTGAAGGTGAGAAGGGGACTTATTTCCACCTTCAGATTGTAACCCCGGGGGGTGGGGTGGTGAAGCAGCTATATTGCTGTCATTCACTGCTGTGCTCCAAGCACCTGAGACATAATTGATGGACAAAATGGTTGAGCAGACAACAAAATACATTTACAAATCTTCATCTTGTACTTCTAACAGGATGCAAACATTCTTAGGAAGCAAGCAAGTATTTGAGTAGTTGCATCCTCCTCTGTGTCAGCTCAGTTTCCATCAATATCTGCAAGTGTTTGGCAGCTATGTGCCTGTTCATCATTGTGGGGAACAGCAATCATCTCTCTCACATCATCTATCTTCCACATCATCCAGTCTTTAGAATAAACTCTAGGAACTGAACACTCTTTATTATTCATGAAAATCAGTAAACCTTTTTTTGACAACAGCAAGTTATGCAGCTTAAGTTTTAAAGCCAATTTCAATACGAGGCTAAAATCATATATATGTTCTATTTATGTAAAGGTCAAGTAGCATCAGCCTCAGATTACATCACTTATCTTGACAAATACCTTGAGAAACTGTATCAGAATTTATTTAAAATATGCATGTGATTATTATAATCTATCCTTGTTAACATATGTCATTCTACTAGAGATGGAAATAATCACAAATGGAAATAACTCACAAATTATAGCATTATCAATATTCATCTCAAAAAGAATTAAAATTTCATATTGGATAATGATATACATGATTATAAAGGTTCTTAGTGATTTTGAGAATTCAGACAAGGAATGGACTAGATTTCTCTGAGTTTTTTTCTCATCGTATATAAGCATACATTTATATACATATTTCACACACGTATACATACATTTGTTAATGAAACCACAATCTGCATACTTCACATACATTTAAAACTCAATCAGAGAGTAGAGGCAGCAAGTCTTTTAAAATTTAATATTGATTTGGGCATTGTCATCATGCCTATAATCTCAGCACTGGAAAGCAGAATCTAAGGATTGTGAGTTTGAGGCCAGCCTGGGCTACATAACAAGATCTTGTCTCAAAAAACAAAAACAAACAAATTGTTTTATTATTAGTTTTTACCTTTGAAGTTTACTACACCAACTGCAGTTGAAGCCAATCTGAGAAGATACACAAGGGCCACAACCATTAAACTGGAGACATGCTAGGAAAGAGAAGAGAATAAATTCAAGAAGAGAATAAATTCATGAAGAGAATAAATTCCATGTTTGGGAAAAGGACTGCTTAACCAAATAAAAATCACCATCCCTCACTATACACATTTGGGGTCAACATAGCCATTCATGCCAAACACAATTATAATTATATAATTAGCATAATTATAAAAAATATAATTATTGAACAAGTTACATCACATTTGCAAATCATTTTTTCCACATAGTCATGTTCATATATTAACTTACTAGGTAGTGGAGTCATCTCTACAGCTGAAATGTTGGTGATTTTTGACATTTGTAACTCTACTCGGTGGTATTCATAAATTGTCCTTCTCCGAACATCTGTAAAAACAAAAGTGGAAAGAAAATCAACTTACATTTCCCCTCTTATAAAATGATAGCATCTTAACAATTGATGGAGGATTATATACCTTTTTTCCTGATAGAGCTTTAAAAGAAAGTGTCATTCTATGAAGAGATTGACTATAGGGGAAAAAAATCCAGAAAATCCTGTTCCTGTACCCACGAATCAGAAGTGTTTTAACCAGTGAAGTTGAAAATTATGTGTAGGGTCTCAGATATCTACCTTAGCTAGAGGCTCTAATTCATTATTACTCATATAATTTTAAAGATGTCTTCTTGGTGGATTTATACATTTTGAAAGATTTCAACACATGAAATCATGAAGGTAAGATGACAGAACTTCTACCAAACTAAAGCTAAAAGTGAACTTTTTGGAAATGGGGAGCAACTAAAAATTTCAACAGTTTAAAGATAATGCCAGAAAACAATATGATTGTTTTAAAGGCTTAGAGTAAAATTCTTGAATAAAGATATAAACATAGGATAAATCATTTTTATGCAACATGGTGATTATAGTTAATATTACTGTATTATACTTGAATTTTGATAAGAGGATAGGGTTTTGAGCATATTCACCCTCCTATGCCACACACACACACACTGTTAACTGTGAGACCACAGATGTGTTAACTTTACGGTCGTAACCACTTCACAATGTATACAAAAATCAAATAATTGTGTTGTATATTTTAAAAAATCTAATTTTGCTCAACAGGTATAATTTCAATAAAGCTTGAGGAAAAAGAAATAATTTAAAAATTGGTATTGTTATGTATGAATAGATAGTGCATTTAGAGAATATTAATAATTAGCACTTAAATTGCATGAAGTTGTTTATAATAATTCATCAGCAAATCCCTCAGAATGCCTGAGGAAGAGGCTACATAGAGACTTTGATAAGAACTTTAATAATTAGAAATCAGATAAATATAAGAAAACACATTTTATAATAAAAACATTTACTATATTATAAGCCTTCTATTAATGAGTTTGCCTTGGTAGGATGAATGGAAATGGAAAAGTAATCATATCAGCATTTTATTTCACTTTTGGAATTCTTGTAATGATGGGATTACTTTTGCCGAATAATGTCATATCTATTAGGAATTGTTTGAGAGGTTATTAATTACTTTAAAGACATCATGATATCCATAATAGCTCAGAATAATATATCCTAATAGGTAAGAATACATGCTCTGCAATAGACTGTTGGGTGCAAATGACAGGTGTGCTGTGACGCTGTGCGTCTTTGCTTTTCTGTGCCTCATTCCCTCTCTATAAAATAGGGACAATAGTATCAATATCAATGATTTGTTTTGAGGATTAAAATGAGATAAGAAGGAAACTGTTTAGAACAGCCCCTTTCAAACTATAATTCTCAATAAATGTTTGAAGTAATTTTTGTCTACTTTCAATATGGCAAGCATAGTTCATACAGCTTATCTGATGTTTAATGATCCAATTACTATCTGATCTATCTGATAGATCTAACTTCACTAAAATTACACTAAGACCCTAGGATCAACCTTCTAGAAATTTGTTTCTCATCTCAATGTTAAGGAAATTGAATTTTTTTTGAGTCATTGGACTCATCAATGACCTTCTATGTTATGGTACACCACACCATGAGTTGTCTTTCGGAAAAGTATTTAGGAAAAGAAAGATACTTACGTATCTAGAATGTTACAGAGGGAAGTCAAACAATTATTTATAGTCTGCAACTATGTTTAATCTTCTCTACTCAAATCCTTTCATTCAATTCTAATCCACCACTAAATTCTATTAAAGAAAACAAGGAAGACAAGCAAAACAATGCCTTTAAGGCTGGGACTGATACTCAGGCCATTCACTGAAAATACCTTTAGGTCTCATAAGACTGGAAAACACTGATTAAAAATACCAATACAGTCAATTGCCTTTTGGTACAATTGAAAGGTTGTACTTCTTCAAAATGTAGAAAAAAATGCTGGTTTTGTGGCATAAAGTTCCTTGAGGAATGTGAATTATGGTATAGAGTATAACATGTTTTTAAACTTTTAAGGCAAATTAAACAACTGCTTATTTTGTACTTTTGTCTAACTAGGATGCATTCTCAACATACTGATTTCCCATGAATTTTGCTAAACAATTTAGTTCTTAGAAGTATGTACGTAATAGGATGTGGGTTCCCAAATCTTCATGCTAAAGTTTGCAGAGTATCCATCATATTAGTTGATGCTTAAGGCATAAGTAATCTTTTCATGTCATACCACACTCTGAAAATCTCAGCTACTGGCAATGACTAGGAACACTCTGAGAGTTAATTTTTGGCCATGCATATGGAGCAAAGGGAAAGAGGGAACTTTTTTCTGTGCTTGTTCTTTTACCTGCTCAGACACCTCCAACTATTGAAAGGAGATGAATTTAATAAGACTAACATTAATGAGAATGTTTTTTATTTGATGACCTGCCAATCAAATGGTCATTTCTGTAGCATTTCAGAGACACCCCTGTCAAAAACAAGTCATTAGGCATTTATTCACTGGTTGGTGCTTCCAAACGCTAGAAGCTTTCATTTGATTCCAGAAATGTATTTAGCTCATGAGTCTGCTTAGAAAAATAAGAAATAAGCCAAAATAATTTTAGAACAAAATTCCAGTCTTAGTGTTGATGATACAACTTTAAGTAGTTTCTTATGGCTTTATAAAACCAAGACTGACTATAATACTTATCTATGAGGGGCTTTTAAGCTTTAAAAAATGAGCAGAGTAACGTAGAGAAAATATAGTTCAGCAATCAAAATTTTAAGATGATGTGATTTGATGTGCAAGTACTGAATTACGTATTTCAGAAATTCTGATCACTACCAGCAGGAAGGACAGTGATCACATGGAAATGTCCAGAATCTTCTCCAGTCAATATCTGTGGTATGCTGACTATGATTCAGCTTATTTGCCTGCCTTGAAAGCTAACATTCACACAGGGACCATAGTTTTCTAAATTGGCCTATTCTCATTTTTATCTAAAGATCATAATGCTTTGATGGCTAAATAACTAATTTGCCAATATTTCTTCATTTGTATTGCCAATGCTTAGTGACTGGCCCCAAATGGTTATACTTTATTTCTGTTTCTAGTCCAAACTGAACCTATCTTTTAACACCCTTTATTGAGTTCTCTTTAATGTAAATAGCATGTATTGCAGAACTACCAAGTTCATTCCCAGCATGAAGACTCAGGAAAAAGAAACTCTTAAGATAAAAAAGACACTATTATATATATTGCAGCAGTTATAAGTTTCTCACACAAAGATGCAAAGCAGTAACAGGATTAGCTAGTTGAAGTTAAATAAAGCATCTAGAAGTTTAAAAAATGCATTAGTTTCAAACTTTTTTCAGTTCTCTGCATTCTAGTTCTATTAAGAAGTAATGTAATTAAGCATTAGGTATAGCAACATAAACCTTAGGTGACCATGAAGTGCTAATTTAAGTCTTTTGGGCTTTCCTCTCATCATTTCCTTACTGCTTACTAAGTTTAAGAACACCACTAAAACCTAAATGTTCAAATTTCCTCCTAAGTTACTTGAGCAAGCATAAAGGAAATCAGATAAATGACCAAAACAATCCTCATATTTCTCTTCCTCCTACACATAGTTTTCTAATGACCTAAGCAAGCTGTCTTTCCTGACTTCCTCAGGAATCACTTTGCCCAAGAAGAGAACTAGACCTGGCGTTGGGGCAGAAGGTCAATGTGATCTAACAGTGGACTCCTGGCACAGGGACCCCGGACCTGCAACTAGCATCATGATCCCATCGACTCTAGCTAATTTACTGTCATGTCAGCAACCTCAAGTCATTGTCATTAGATTTTTTTTTCTGAAATAAAAGGAGATTGTGACTTCATCATGCAAAATTTGGTAAGATTTCTTTATTTTAAAGTCAAGTGTTCACCAAAATACAATACAAAACAAAAATCCACCCATACTATTTGTGGGCATGTATCTGAAGTAGTATAAATCAATATTCAAGAGAGATACGTGCATATCTAAGTTTATTACAGCTCTCTTCACTAACTAAATTGTAGGCTCAGTTAATGTGCCCAACAACTGATGAATTATAAAGAAAATATATATGAATATGGAATATTACTCAGCCATAAAGAAGAACGAAATTGTGACATTTGCAGGAAAATGAATGAAACTGGAGATCATCATGCCGAGCAAGATAAGCCAAGCTCAAAGGACCAAATATTGCACATTTTTGCTATTTTGTAGAACCTAGTCCTAAAGTAATCCTCATAATGATGATAATGGGACACAAATGTATCTGGAGAACAGTCTAGGAGGGATCGGTGGGGGAGCGTAGGAAAGAACATTGAGGGGTGAAGAGGATGGAAGTATGCCACATGTATGTAAATGAAGACAGCACAATGAAACCCACCAAAACACTGTTTGAAAAAGTGGGGAAGAAGGGGAGGGGGACTAGGAATATAATGGAGAGGTGAATTTGTTCAAGGTACACTGCACATGTGCGCACATGCTTGGAATTATCGCAATGAACTATCACTGCATTAATAATATCACACATTCTGTTCTCCACTGCTCTACTTCTCAGAGAAGTAGAGAGCAGAAAGTGTGACTACAGCCTAAGAAGTGTGGGGCAGGGAGAAAGGGAAAGAGAAAGCATAGTTAATGGCTACAGAGGTGCAGTTTGATAGGAAGGGTGACTTCCAATGTTTATAGCATTTCAAGATAAATTTGATGGATGACAATTACTGATATATTTCAAAATACCTACTAGAGAGGATTGTGAATGTCTGCAACAGAAATGATAAATGTTTGAGGTGATGAATATTCCAGTTACCCAGATTTGATCTTTGCACATTTCATACATGTCACAGTGCAGCCCATAAATATGTATAATGAGTATGTGTCAATTAAAGACAGCTGTATATTTTTAAAAAATCATTTAGATCTTTGGCCCTCATGTGAAGGAAAAAAAC